TTCAACATTTTACTGGCCATGTTTATACGTTTACTCTGAACTTTACATTTTCTCAGATGTCTCGAAAATAGTCTCATTATGATTCTGATTGTCATTGGATTATATTTTATTTGATAAAAAGGGATACCTTTTCAGACTTCCAGGAAAGTAATATTTAAATCAATATTTTTAAGTCTTCCAAAGTGGTTTTTTTGGTTTGTTTTGTTTTTAATTTATCAATATACAATGTAGTTGATTTCCATGTCCCTTTAAAACCATTTCCTCCTTTTAGGTCTTGCATGTTTCCTATCTATTTTATTCCTAGCTACACAGTATACTTTGTTTACTTCCATAAAGGCATGACTCCTATATCATCATCTATGCAACTAAAAAAGTTTTGAAAAGAACAATGCCAAGGACATTAATATAATGCTTATTTTACAAACTTCTCTCCATCTTAATAAAAGTATGTTTGTGCACATTCAAGCAATTATTAATCTCCTTAACTGTCCGTATCTCCAACCTGCATACTTCCATCTTATTCACAAGAATGTCATGAGATACCTTCTCAAATGCCTTACTAACATCTAAATCTACTATTTCTACCATATTTCCCTTACCTACTACTCCAGTAATTTTGCCATAGGAAAAAAATTGTGTTATACTTCTTATTAATGAATCTATCTCAGGTCTAGTGATAATCATTCACTTTCCCAGGTACTTACAAATCATCCTCACATATTTACTTGTGATTGATAAGTATACATTACTTCTAGAATCAAGTGCTGCCAATTTAAGAAAAAAGTGGGTGTGGATAATTGTTACTTTAGAGAGATGAATGGCTCTAAAATATTCGAATAACCCTAATAAAGTTTGACTCCTGGAATATATTTAAGGACAGAGAAACACCATCTAAAGCCTTATTATCATTAAGCAAGGCATTACCTTTGCTCCACAGTCTGCTCCTTTCTGAATGCAAAATCCAATGAACCGTGGGTCTGCCACTTTTACTAATATATTGTCAACACAATAGACATGAATGCTCCAAATGCCTCTTTGCTCCATATCCTCCACAATATTCTGGGCTGCAAGAGCCCGATAAAGACCACCATTCCCATCTGGAAAATAAAATAACCCTTTAGTAGCACACCAAAACTTACTATGAAGGTAAGCCAAAGATTGTTTAATGTTTCCAAACTGGGGTGAAGATCTCTGAAAAACAGTTTCACATTATAGAGCCAAGAAAAATGAATATGCATAGGGAAGGATTGAGATGTTATATAGTTATACTACATAATTTTGGAGGTTATTTATTA